AGAGAGGGCACCCTTTGACTATTCGAACCTCATTTTCGTATTGATCTTGCCACAACATGTGCAGATCCGCTTGGCAGCTGGATCTGCGAATGTTGTTCTTCCACCCTTAGCTTAGTGCGCCCGGACACAACCCTAATCCGTACATACAGAGCCTTTTACGCTGAACGGCCAACTGCTGCTCACCCTGCCTTCCGGAGCCCTTGCTGCGTCGAAATCCTGCATGGCACCGGTTTCATCGCTCCCTTGATTACGGTATATCGGGCTGCAGGTCGTGAACTTTGGGCTTTAGGACTTCAGAGTTCCGCTCAACGTCTTGTGGCGTGAGGCTGGGTACTGGAGCCGCGGGCTGAACATCCTCGGATTCGGACCCCTTGTGGTAGCCCTCCTAGGAACCCTGATAGCAAGCCTTACTGCAACCGTACATTAATACCTCAGTGTCTGCGGTGTTCCCCTGACGGAGTCTGGAGGTTGATCGGGGTAAACGGGAGGGGTTCGCGCAAGGTATCTATCCTACAAGGGTTACCGCAATAGTGTCTATGACAGTTTCCAAAGAGGGTTCCTGTTGATGGACTGGGTCAGAGTCTGGAGGGAGATTACGGCAACGACCAAACTAAACAAAGTACGTTTTATTTTCCACATCGACATGGACCTACCAAGCCGTAGTCTGAGACGTAAATCCGCGGATGAGGCCCGATGCTTGCGTGATCTCGGGAGACTTCTAAGGAATCGGACGCCCGTAAGTAGTTCGGTACGGGCGAAGCTCTAACAGCCCAAGCCCGCGGACCAGACGCTACCAATGAGTCCTGGAGGGCGTCGCCAGTGTAAGGTCGCTGAGATACTTCGGATACCTCGAACAAGTTTGAGCAGACATGGCGGCAGGTGCCTCTAGAGCCTGGCATCACAAAAGCAGCAGAACATTGCGCAGCAGATGGAATCCGAAACAACATCGCAACGAGTGTCCAGCAATCCTGGCGAGCGGCGCAAGGGATCAGGCTGTGTTGCTGGGTTCCTGCAACAGCGGGTTTCTGCGAGCATCAAAGCTCCATAGCAATAAGGCCAACTCTTGCGGCAACGATAACTTCCCCTTGCGAGCTTCTATGCTACAGCCTAAGCTTGACCACGAAACACCACAATGGGCCTTCAATCCTGAACCCCGGAAGCTTGGATCAAACTCCAACTGGGCTGCACTCCTCAAGCTTGAGCCCCCCTCACGAAGCCCTGCACACTGAGAAGCCTTGGACTTCCAACCCTAAACCCCTAAACCCCCCTTCGCTCCTGCGCATCGGGCTGGTAGGCATGTGCCGCTGCATGCTCAGAGACTGACTTGAAGATCTGGGGCAAAGGGCGGAGCTTTAGAGAGCTTCAAGGGCTGTGAGTACTGGTCTTGCTTGATCGCTGTTGTTGTGTGTACCATCCGTGAACTAAGTCCGCCGCTGCTTCTAACCTCTTGTGCTCCTGCTGGCTTCCCACTTACTCTTTGGGATGATCTGAGAATCAGACTTCCGGTGTTTGCTGTGGCATCTTACTCAAACACCGGGCCAGGGTATGCAAGACCGCATCCTCTTGTTACCGCATGGGAATAATTCATCACGCGATGGCAAAAATGTGCTCACACTCTTTCCATCACGGAAATGGCAACAAGTTGAGGACCGAACGGAAAACTTGAGCAGGGCTTCGTGTTGTTTCATGTAGATTCCTTACTTTTGGGGCTTCCTGGGCCTCCCGGCTGCTAAACACCTGCAGAACCCTTACAACAGTCACAGTTACCCACACCCCACCCCCCCCCACCCCTCCAAAAAATAACAGCACACATAAGACGAGGCCCCACCTGCTCGCCGGCAGTCTCCAACGAGCCACGGCACCATGCAAGGTTTGCCGAGCCCTGGTGTAGGGTTTAGGGTTTAGNNTTAGGGTTTAGGGTTAACGGTTCAGGACTCAAGCGGTTTTGGGGCGTAGGATGCTTTAGCTTTAGGGTTTGGGACTTCCGTAACTTAGGTTTCTAGGGGTTTACGGCGTTAGGTTTGGGAGTCCGGGGTCTAAAGCTTGGGGTTTTGGGGTGTGCAGGGCTTGGGGTTTTGGATTTCGGATAAAACCGTCTGCTTTCCATCCTGCGCTTCTGTACGCTACTCTTGTAAGGTCGGCAGCTGTGGGCTTAGGACGTATTCTGTGGGTAGGAGCTTCGAAGTCGGCCGAGGGATGACATCTCGTGCTAGCAACTGGGCTCCTTGGGATTGGGAAACCAATTGGGTTGCCTGCTGCAGCAACAGCTACTAGCAGTACTACTACTACGACTACGACTA